GTATGCACTTGGGATCCTCTAAATTGTCTCAGTTGCTCGCAGGTACTTTTACATACCCAGGCTTGGACACTGGGTGGCAGATGTCACCCACCGTTGCTTGCACTGTGCTCGGGTAAACAACCCTAGAAAAGAAAAGAAGCAACCCCAACCAGGAGCTCCAGGGAGTCGTCCTGGAGAATCCTGGGAGGTGGGCTTTATGGAAATCAGACCTGGAAGGTATGGCTACCGGTATTGGCTGGTGTTTGTGGACACCTATTCTGGATGGGTGGAAGCCTTCCCAACAAAGAAGGCAACCGCTGCCATTGTATGTAAATTATTAGTAACTAAAATTGTCCCTCGATTTGGCCTTCCCACCACCTTGGGGTCCGACAATGGCCCAGCATTCATTGCTCAAATTACTAAAGTATTAGCAATGCTTCTAAATATTAACTGGAAGCTCCACTGTGCTGATAGGCCCCAAAGTTAAGGGCAAGTAGAGAGAATGAACAGAACCCTAAAGGAATTTTTAGTTAAATTGCATTTAGAAACTGGTGAAAACTGGGTTGATCTTTTTACCTTTTGCCCTACTTTGAGTCAGGTCAGATGCACTCCCTATGCAAAAAGCATTAGCCCATTTGAATTTATGTTTGGTAGACCTCCCCCAATCCTCCCAAGATTGAAGGAGGTAGGCATAATGGAAGTCACTAACCGTTCCCTCATTAAGTGCCTGCAGGCTGTGCAGCAGGTGAGAGAGACAATCAACTGCTCCAACACCTTCATTTTGGGCCCAACCAAGAGAAAGGTGAATAGGCAGCCCACAACTTGCAACCTGGAGACTGGACGTGGGTAAAGGAGCACCAGCCCGACACCTTAGAACCAGGGTGGACTGGCCCACACCAGGTGATACTTACAACACCAACTGCTGTTAAAGTAGTGGGGAAGGGGGTGTGGATTCATCAGTCACAAGTAAAGAAAGTCCTACCTGAGCATACCCCGAAAAGATGGACACTCAGAGAGATGGGAAACTCCATAAAATTAAGACTTGCAGAACTTAATTGTTTTTGTCTGTCTGAATATCGCTGACAGCACCCGCCGTTTCCCCCATCCACCGCAAACACATCTGTGGACTGTTACTCGAACCTCCAGCGGGAAAATGTAACCTCTTACACTGGATCTGACCCCCCCTGTTTTCCACTTTGATTTGTGTGATTTGTTTGAACCTGAGTTGCATGTAAAGATCATTTGCGGGCATAAATATAGTAACTCCTACACCCCAAGGGGATGCTTGAATCTAAATTTTAAAAACAGCTTGAAATTACCAATTCTTTTTTTTTTTAATCAATCTATTGGGCTCATACAATTCATCACAATACATAGATCAATTGTGTAAAGCACATCTATACATTTGTTGCCCTCATCATTCCCAAAATTCGTTAGCCTCTAATTTTCCTTTTTTCCCCCCTCCCAGGACTGTGTTTTTATTCATCTAATTATCCCTTAAATATGTCAAGTATGGAGATTTTTGCCTTCAAGCTGTTCCTATTGAACCAAATGTTGATCCTTATTTGTTATCTGCCCCGACGGGTATGTGGTTTGCTTGTTCCACAGGACTAACACCCTGTCTCTTTCCCCAGTATTAGCAGTGGACTCGGTATTTGTGTGCTCGTGCATGTTATTCCTCAAGTGTACCTGTATTCTGGTGAAGGAGGTGTAGGGATCACTTTGGAATTTCTGGACGAGTTAAAAGAGCCCCAATTTTGGTCCCGTTGTTAGCAAGGCTTGGGATTGCTGGGTCAGCCACAGTAGGGCCAGCTGCTTTATTACAAGGAAACTTAAACTATCAGACTCTTAGTCAGCAAATTAATTTGGATTTGCAAGGATTATAAAATCAGTTTCCCATTTAGAAAGATCCTTAGGCTCCCTTGCAGAAGGTGTTTTGCAAAACCACCAAGGGCTTGACTTGCTCTTTTTGAAACAAGGAGGGCTGTACATGGCGTTGGGAGAAACTTGTTTTTATGCAAACCATTCAGGAATCATTAAAGATAGTTTAGCCCTGGTTAGAAAAAAATTAGATGAAAGAGACAAGAAAAGAAATGAAGGAACCAATTGGTTTGAAAAGCTATTTAATTGGTCACCCTGGCTAACTACCTTAGTAATGGCCCTAGCCAGACCCCTAGTCCTCCTCCTGTTAAGCTTCACATTTGGACCAATAATAATCAATAAGCTAGTGGCATTCATTACACAGGCCATAAAACTCTTAGTGCTAAGCCCAGCTGGCTGGCGACAGCAGATTCAATGACTTGAACGTGGCTAAGAACAGGAGGGAATGTAGTAGCTCTAGGAAAAGCTTAAACAGCCTTGGCAAGAGTGAAGCCATTTTGAGCTGACAGAAGTCATTAGGAACTATCAATGAACTAGCTATGAACCATAAATGAACTAGCTGATATGAGGGAGGCAGGCTGTACCGAAGGAAATGTATGTTCAAAAGGCTTGGAAGAACAACTAGAACGATTACTATTCAACTAAGAGCAGTTATTGTTTGATTAAGAATGGCTAACCGCAATATCCTGCTTTGTACTCTGCTTGCTTGCTTGCATACCTGCACATTGCAAAAGTATAAAAACCTCTGGAAAATTAGACAGGCCACTGCTCAGTCTCCTCTCAAGAAGGCTGACAGTCCCTGTGCAGGTAATAAAACTTTTTCTTTTGAACTTGTCAGCAGTCTGGATTATTTTCTTTCTGGGAACGGACAGTAGGGCTACAACGCTAGGACATCCAGCCCAAGAGGGACCTCACCTGCTTTGCCCGGTGGCAGCACTACATCCGGCTGCAGCACCATCGCACCATCCTGTACAAGCGGCTGAAGGTGCCACCCTCCATCAACCAGTTCCCCCAGGCCTTGGACCGGCAGACAGCCGCCCAGCTGCTGAAGCTGGCTCACAAGGACCGGCCGGAGATGAAGCAGGAGAAGAAGCAGAGGCTGCTGGCCCGGGCCGAGAAGATGGCTGCTGGCAAAGGGGATGTCCCCACCAAGGGGCTGCTTGTCCTGCGAGCGGGGGTCAACACTGTCACCACTCTGGTGGAGAACAAGAAGGCTCAACTAGTGGTGATCGCACACGATGTGGCCCACATTGAGCTGGTGGTCTTCCTGCCGGCCCTGTGCTGGAAAATGGGGGTCCCCTACTGCATCCTCAAGAGCAAGGCCCGACTGGGGCGCCTGGTGCACAGGAAGACCTACACCACCATCGCCTCACACAGGTGAACTCGGAAGATAAAGGAGCCTTGGCTAAGCTGGTGGAAGCCATCAGGACCAACTACAATGACAGGTTTGACGAGATCCGCCACCACTGGGGTGGCAATGTGCTGGGCCCCAAGTCAGGGGCCCAAATTGCCAAGCTGGAAAAGGCCAAGGCCGAAGAACTCGCCACCAAGCTGGGCTAGCTTGTGTGTGGCTGGTTTTTGTACATAATAAAATTAGTCCTTCAAAAAAAAAAAAGATATACAAAGAGTATAGTAAAGTCCTAGAGAATAAGGTGAGCTAGGAGAGAGAGTAACATAAAGAAGTCAGACACATTTCATGGTAGCTGCTCACCTCAGCTCCTCTGGGTGGTATGCGTGGAGGTGGGAGACGAGAGGGCATGAGTGAGTGAGAGTGATTTATTACTAACCAAGGCTCATATATCTTTTGGGGGTGTGCAAGCCCCCTGATTACAGGTAAAGACATACGTCACAGGAAGGGGCTGTACTATAGGCATACACATTACAGGAAGGGGATGAGCTAGGGGTGTACACGCTATAGGAAGAGGAGGGACTAGGGGTATACATGGGACAAGGGCAGACCCTAGACTCAATATGGCAGCTTAACCTTGGTCATCCTTGAGTGGACTTGACCTCCCTGAGCTCTCCTTCAGGGAAACAATCTACTACTATCCTTATCAGAAGGGAGTGGACCCTACTTAGGGTGGGACAGACCATACAGTCTGATCGTTCTAGATGATAACCCTTAGGGAGAATAACCTCTGACCTACATTGACCTCCAAGTGTATAGTCATTTACCATGTGTAGCAAGCAGCTAGGTTTGGCATATATTTGGGGGAGACAACTTGGGAGAAATCTTTCTGTATCCCACAGAGCAATAGATTGAGTCAATGTATAACTCAACAATGATTGCAGCAGTACATAGAGAAAGATCTGCTAAAAGCCCAAGCTGAATTCAGATGAGGACGTGGCAGGAGGACTATCATTGCTGATGTCAGATGGATCTTGGCTGAAAGCAGAGAATACCAGAAAGATGCTTGCTTGTGCTTTCTTGACAATGCAAAGGTATTTGGCTGTGTGGATCATAACAAGTTATAGATAGCATGGCAGAGATTAGGAATTCCAGAACACTTCATGGTGCTCACGCACATTCTGTACATAATAAACCAAGAGGGATGCTGCACTGCTTAAAATCAGGTGTGCGTTAGAGTTAGAACCTTCCATCATACGTATTCAGTCTGTATGCTGAGCAAATAACGCTCAGCTATGTGAAGAAGAGCTTGTCATAAGGATTGGACGGTGGCTGTGAATAACCTGTGACA